TATGATCAACATCACATGGTCGATTACAACATGGGCAAAGGTTAGGACAACCCCGAACTTTATCAAATAAACGAGCATATGTATCCTCTTTATCCATACTATTGAAATCAGTTTTCAATTCACTGAATTTCTGTAGAAGATTAGCTTGTTCATTTAAAACATTTTGTAAAAATGCAGCAAAATTATCAATAGAAATTCGATCGTATGCTGCAGATATTTCTCTTGTAATAGCTTTAAGTAAAGCACTTGGTGGACGTTGATTGGCTAATAATTTAAATACATCAAATGCTTCCTTTTTTACTTTATATGTTTTTATCTCGACATTCTGAAAGAAAGGAAAACATAAATATTTCATAGTATTGATAAGGAATAATCTACCTGAGTGTTCGCACTTGCACCTGAAATGATCCTCTTAATATCAATAGTCAATGGAGTTGATTCTCCTGATAGATAACGTCGGAGTAAAACAGTCATACAACGTTTTTTCTGAGTTAAGTTTTCATTCACATTGAGATCATTACCATTTAGGGATTGAAATATATCTGCAACTAATGTTGCTGATGAACAACGAAATGGTTTCAATGCATCAAACACACCTAATATGAATAAAAACAATTCCACAATCTATATATTGATTAACATTGACATACCTTGTAAACAAAAGAAAAATTCGACTATAACAGAATTATAATTTGATTTAATCTCAATTAATTTTTGATTAATTGTTCGGAGTATGTTTTGCCATAATTGTTTAAATTCTTCTTCAATAATTTTTGTAGGATTTTCAACATAATTCATTAGCCATTTCATATCATTATTCGTTAGAAGTTGTCCATCACATCGTTCTTGCATCCATTTTCGATTTAAAAAATCATAATCTTGTAATTGAGTCTTAATCGATTGTTGGCAATCGACTTTAAAACATTCAATAGTGTGTTCAAGGAATTGTTTAACAAGATTTAAAGCATAATTTGCATCAGCTGAAGAATCTGAAACAACCATTCGCACAAAATAATCTTTCATATGATCCTTTTTTAAATGTAATTCTTCTACTGTTTGTTGAAAATGTGTTTTTTGTTCATAAAAATAAAATGCCGTTAATAATAAGATTCCACAAACATGAAAGATTGATTTCAATTGACGTGATAGCGATAAACAGAATGGGCGTAATTCATTATCAACATTGATAATTAATGTATTGATTAGACCAACAATTTTTTGGATTAAATCAGTTTGAATAAGTCGTGTTTCGTTCTCTTCTGTACCTTTCATTTCTTTAAAAATTGTTTGAATTATCTCTCGAATTAACTCCGAAACACGTAAATACATATTTGTTTCATCGATCATTGCTGCATTGACTGTTGGTTTTTGACTGGAAATTTTCTGTCTAACCTCTTGTAGAAATTTTGTTGTATAAATAATTGTTTGTGATGGTGAATTCTTATTTTTCTGATTATTAATACGTAATTTTGATAGCATATCTTTAAAGAATTGACGAACAGAACCTTTCGATGCATTTTGAAGATGTGCTTGTGCTTGTTGTTGAACAAAGTGTGAATAATTTTTCTTTAAATATTCAATAAATTTATCATAACAGACTTCTTTATTTAAATAAACTAAACTATCAATTTGTTCAAATGAATATATATTAATTCCATCGTTAATAAATGGACGAATTTCTATCGGTTGATGTTCTTTATAGGCTAATTTCGTAAAACGTAGAATAAATTCATCTTGAAGATCATGAACTGCCAATTGACTTTCATTAAAATGAACTAATACCGATAAATGATTCGATATATGTTGATAATCAGGTAAACCTTCTCTTTCATAAATATTATAATTTGTATAAATATAAATCAATGCATTATGAGCAAAATCATTCTGAATAAATTTATGTTGAATATGTTCAACACTATTTTGAAACATTGTTTCAAATTTCATCGAAGCACTTTCCGAAGACATAAGATTTCCACTATTGATTGTATCATCAATTAATTGTCGGAGATCTCCTTCACCATCACGAACAAGTAATTTAACTTTTTCTCGTTCATTTGCAACCTTACTGGTTGTTCGAAGAGCATCAAATGCTGAAATGATTTGTGTATTTAAAAATTGTTTACTTCGTGTTCGAATTGTATCTGATGCTTTTAATAATTTTAAAACATTTTCTAAATCTTGTTGAACTACAGTTTGAATTTGTTCTTGTTTAACATCAAACATTCGATCAATTTCTTTCTCATTTAATTTAATTGAATCTTGAATTAATTGATTTCGATAAGTCGAAGAAAATATTTCGGTTAATTTTTTTCGAATATGTTCTCGAACTTTATCATCCTGTTCACGTTCATTAATATCTTGAAAAAATGTTAAATCAGAAAATTTTTGTAAAGTTTCAAATATTGTAAATGAAGATTTTAACCATTGAATTGGATCAGAAATTTCCGTTGAACGATTTAAAACTGATTCAGCTGCTTGAATCAATTCTCCACAAAGTAATTGAACACGTTCAAGAAAATCAGCTTCAGTATTCACCGGCCTTGCTTTATTCGTATCCGAAGCTAAATTTGATCCTTTTTTAAATGCTGATGGAAGAGTATGAAATGATTCAGTTTTGATATGAACTGTTGGACCTGTTTTGTTTAAATCACTAACAATTCGATTGATTGCTTCTCGATTATTTTCACTACTTAAATCTGCTCGTTGATTTAAAATAAATCTCACAGTTGGTTGAAAAATTCGTGTCACACCCATTTGTCGAAGAGAATCAGTACAAAGAGAAAGCATTCTTTGAAAAGGTACATTAAATTCTCCAGCTGTATTCACAATCACTAAATGAGAAACAGCTAAACAGAATAAAACAATTCGACGATCATATTGAAGATCTTCTCGTTCAACACCCAATAAACCTTCAGTATCAATTAACATAATATAATCAAAATCTGGACGATTAGACTTCACAAATGAACCATATATCCCACGAGTACAACGACCATCTCGAACATCAAATAATGTCCCAAACATATAATTTAATAGAGTACTTTTTCCTGAATTTTGTGGACCGATGACACTAATAACTAAGATTTTTTTCTCATGAAATAACGATAATGCATAACAAAGAAAATTATAATGAAAATAAAAATTATCTCCATCAACAATTTCAAATGGATAACCAGCTCGAATATATTCCCCATATTGTTGATAAAGAAAGTTCTGTAATTGATCCGATTGTTGTATTCCACAAATCATTGCATTTCTCCAGAGAACTTCTAATGACAAGCTTTTATTTACAGGAAGTTGTTTAGACATTTCACTTAAAGGTACTAATCGAGAACGTTCGTCCTTTAAATCAGTTGCAAGCACATCTAAACATGTTAACATATTCGGTGATTGTAAGATTTGAACGAATAAATCAAAGATAATTCCTGTTTTTTTTCCTTTAGTATTTAATATTCTATTAAGTTCATTGATTTTCTCATGAACATCAAATACATCATTATCATTTTCACTTCCATAAAAATTAAAACTTGCTAATTTTAAATTTAAACCACAAAGTTGGGCATAAATTATATATATAGGAAATGAGTCCGATACGACATTTTCATTTTGAAGAGCAAATATTAATCGTTCTTTTAATGGTTGAATCACTTGAGAAATTTCTTGCAATTGTTCTTTAAATTGTGGATTAAATAAATTTTTTAATAAGGTTTGAGTATATTTCTTTTCATGTTGAAGTTTCGGCGGTTCTGCATCGAAGATTTTCTGATAAAGCTTAAGAATACTTCGTTGATTTTGTGCTTTATTAGGATCGGAAATATTCGGAAGAATAAATTTTTGAATAGATGATGGAAATTTCACAGGTAATTCTTTTGAACATTGATTATCTGGTACATCACGAATGAGAAGCAAACAATATCTGGATTGTTGTGAAGCAATCGATAAAAAACTTTTCACAATTTCGAAATTTTTGTTAATATATTCATAATTAATATGAATAATAAATCCATCAAATAAATCATGAATTTTTTGTAATAATTTTATTGTCATCGATCCATGTGTATCAGCGATATTAATCGAACGATGAGGATTGAAATTATAACCAAAATCAATATCAATTGTTTCTTGAAAATAAATACTTGATGAAGTTTGTTCAAACGAAGACATAAAAATTTTATTTAATAACATAGATTTTCCTTCACATTGATCAATTCCAAATGAAAGTAGTGTTGGAGTATAATAATCCCAAACATGAATTATATCCGGAACAAAACGATAATCAGAATTATTTGCAAGTGATGGTTGGAGAAATGGTACATGATTTCGTTTGCTTAATAATGAAATAAGCATTCGTGAAAGTGAAAAATCAGATTTAAGTAGAAGAATATCTTTCATCATTCGCAGATTTAATGTGGAAAATGTTGAAGATTGGTCGAGATCAAAATAATTAAAAAATAACTTGGTAGCAAAATCTTCTAAATTTTGATGTCGTTTAAGTAAAAACATCATTGTTTGAAGACATTTATCAAGAAATTCTGTAAAATTTCTTTCTCTATCATAAACGGCGACAATATTCTTGATCACAGCAGGAAATTTTTGATTAATAAACATTAACTCTCCAGCTTGAACTAAATTTGCTAATTGCCATTTTGCATATCCATCAGTACACATTGTAATAATTGTTCTTTCATCTTGTCCTTGATTTGTACTATTATCTAAGGTAAAACTTGCCATAGTTGATAGAGTATCGAAGAAATCTGCATCGTCTGAATTGTTTTTTAATGTAGAGGTAGTTGGTGGTGGATTGATGGAATTTGGATGACTTGATTTTGGCGTTGTCGATGTAGATTTAGTTTTATCAGATGGTGTCATAGAGGAATTCATTAAATTTGAAGTGTCAGTGGTTTGTTGTGTGTTATCAGTGGAATCGGGTATTTCGAGATTGTTATCTTTAAGATATTTTTTTAATCTTTCGATTAATTCTCTATGTTTTTTTGGTGAGAATTTGTATGTTACATCGTTATAATTTAATCCTTCCGTCCATCCATATTTAACAAGACAATTTAAAGCAATTTCAATCAAGTCAGGGTCGTTAATATCCAGTAGCGTTGATAAAGGTTGCTGATAAGATTCTCCTAAAGCTAAAGATAAGGCACTTTGATCAGTTTCCGATTGTTCTTTAATCACGCTTTGTGCTAAATCTTCAGAAAATTTTGATAAACTTCGTCGACCCTCAAGAACCAATGTTTTCCAAATGGTTTCAAACTTTGATTTATCTTCTAATTCTTGATCAGTAAAGTCAAATAGAAATTGTACAACTAACAAAAGTGATGGAAAATCTTTTACATATTTCGAACCATATTCAGCAGTACGTGTTAAGATTCGATCATATAAAGCTGGTGATTTTGTCTTTTGTTCATGAAGAAATATTTTAAACCAATCATCAGTGTGTGATTGCCATTGATATTCGATGTAGTTTTTTAATAAAGTTAGTAATTGACTTCCATCTTTATTCATCTGTGTGTTATAAATACCTAATACAATATCATCTTCATATCTAGATAAAGCTTGACGACCATTGACGATTAATTGATTAACAAGCATTCTAGAGTCACACGCATTGGCATCTAATTCAAGAATGTTGATCATATCGGCGATCATTCCATCCTCTGGTGAGATCGATGATGAAGATATATTATTTTCTCTTGGTCTATTATTATAATTGGAATTATTATTCGATTCAGGATTCAAAACTTCTATATCATTTAACCTATCGGGGGAAGACATAGATGATTCTTGGTCATTTCTTTCTGTCATTATTTACGTAACCAATTCGAATAAAATATTATCTAAAATTAAAAGATATAATAATGACGAATTTTCTCGATAATACTCTATAACACGTTTATATCATCGTTGCACATACACTCACTGAACACATATAAGAATGAAAATTGTTCACGATCCAAAGCTTAAAACATCAAAAAAATAATTTCTACTTTGATTTATTTTTCAAAGTGGACTTTTCTTCACACATTCAGTCCAATATATGACTTCTTACTTTGAATTTTATTTGATCAAATTAACTAAAACGAGAATTCAAATCATTCTTACACAATCTGTTTTTTTTTCTCGATTAAATACGCTTGAAAATAACACTGAAACTCTTCCAACTCTGCTTGATTGAATGAATCATATCAATATAATGTTCCTCTCGATCCCAGACACAATATTTATCCAAAACAAAACATACTTAAATGCTCTTATTAATAATAATGCAAAAATAATTTTCATTTCTTGTAGCATTATACACACTA